AAGTGACCAAATTTTACGTTTCGCCTATTCTAACCTCGTGAAACATAAAATGGTGAACAATCCAGGTACCATAAACAATCCAGGTACCATTCGACGCGACTTTTTCTCCTCTTTTTAAGAGCTATCTTTTTCGGCGAGATAGGCGAGATTTGCTGGAAAAATTGCATTATTTCTCTATTTCACGAGTGTGCGCTGTCGTACCCTGATTTCTAGAATCTTCATCTTTTGAATCGGAAATCACCCTAATACTTTGTAAAGTCAGCAACAGTAATAAAGGAGTCTTTAAACTTCAAACATCTAAAGATTCTGCAGTGTTTGGTGCAATAATAGGTTTTGCGATTTTCCAAACCTCAAGACTGGAAAATTATTTCAAAAAATCCTGGACGAGTTGCTGAAGAAAAGCGAAAAATTGCTGCAGTTGGGTTTTTTCTACCTATCACTTATTGAAGCTTCCCAAAAAGTCTTCTACTAAAATTTTGAGAGTTAGCGAAAGTTGGACATGGTGAAAACGAAGTGTAGTAATCTCCAGCGATTATCTCACTGCTCTTTCAATAAATCATGTTGGATGGCAGCTGGAAAGTGGAAGAAATTCTGCATCGGATACAACTTGAAATGTTCGTTTATCTTCACTGTACAAGAATTTGAGGGTCATTGCAAAAAACTGACAAAACTTTGGGACCGACGTAATAATTTTAAGCGTAGTTCTGAGGTTTTAGATGCTGACTCAGCATGCGAAGGTACAGCATACAAAGGTCAGATAGTGCTTGGTGTAAATCTCACCTTTTGCTGTGATAGAGCCCCTCATTATTCACCCACAAAAGCAATAATTCTTACTTAAAAGCCAATAAATCTATGTCGACTGTGTGAGATGTACCTGCTCGAGCACTGAACATTCTCGCCGCTCAGTCAGGCTTCGCACTTGGTTGCTAAGTGCTCTGTCTTATCTCGGATAAGAGAACTCGCTCTTAGCTTTTAACCCATAAGGGAACCCTTCATATTTTCCTTTTCATCTCTATGCTCTTTCTGTGAAGCTTGCACTTTCAGAAGTTAGATTTTCCTGCCGATGTGTGCAACTGCACATTTTCCACGATGTTAATGCAAGGCAAGATCTCTCTCCTAATAAGCGGCACATAGACGTAATCATCCTCAGACAGTATGCGTGAACAGCAAAGAAGAAAAAGAAAAACCTTCCTGGGCCAACCTAACCGAATCCCATGCTGAAAAAGTGCAATTGCACACGTTTACAACGAACTTACTAGACTACAGTATCTATCACCTATCACAACTCTTTTGCTGACATGAATTTCGACCATAACAGAATGTTGAAATACATATTCTTGATAGTATTAGTAAAGGCATTATAACAATAAGAAAATTTGTCAATTCCTCTCCATAGTTTCGTATTATAGATGTTTATGAGCTATTGGCCTTTGCCCTATGGTCCATTTGAATTTGAAAAAGTACGCACTCTTTCTCGCTTTTGAGCAGAGACGAAAAAAGTTGTCGCATTGAACTCTACACGGAAGAGGTTGTTCACTAATTTGCGGTAATATTCACCTTTTCTATATAGATTTGGTTTCAGATCGTAGATTAGTCATTCGTGCTGCGAATGTCATTATTGCTAGAATCTGCAGTTGTATGAAACTCAGTACACAGAAAAAGTATTGGCCAAATCATCATTGCACTTGATGACGTCTGCATCCGTAATGTTGTCTTTGCATTTCTCAGGAAGTTCTCTTATTACAATAAAACAAGGCAGCTGCTATGTACAACAATGCAGTAAACATTAGCAATTTGTCTTTTATCTGCAATACGGCGATTACTTCATTGTTACACTAACTCTATTCGTCTATTTACTCATTTAAACTGCATTACATCTGAAGCGAAAAAATAGAGTAATGTGAAGTAGGAACCACAATTTGCAGAATTTCAGCATACACGGCTGATAGGCAGTTTGCTATACACATAAAAACGATTAGTTATCACAAAGGTGAACATGATGCTGCTTACTGCAATATTCTCGAGGATAATTTTAAAGAGTTAGAGGTAGTGTCCGGGGCAGTTTCTGGTTGTGAAAATTTATATGTACTATGCTATTAGGTTAATATACATATGAGGTTTTGCACAAAAATTATATAGAACTTGATTTAGAAATTTTTTACAATTAAACAATTTATACACTGTTCACTTTGTTGTATTGATATAACAGAAAAGGGAATTAATTTTGGGAAGCAAAAAAGCCGGATGTAAAGATTGAAATTTACTACTTGTAGAGATATCTGTCACCGCAAAAATTTTTATGTTAGAAAGCGTATGCCGCAAAACGCACAACCGAAGCTCAATTAATGGACCATTTAGATTAATGGACCATTAGCATTTTTAACGACTGAACACAAATTTTAGCGTTTCTTGCCAAAAAAATTCTCCTTGCACCTCCCGTAGAAAGACAGATTATACTGAGACTTTCATTTTTTGTCTCTAAAATATTTTGAGGCAAACAAATCACTTAATGGCAACACTTATGTCAATCTCAAACATAACTTTGGAACCAGTTTTTAGGCGAACTTTGTCCAAGCACCAGAATTTTTTCGCCCCAACTTAGTGTTTCTGCTTGAGGCAGTAAAGGTTGGAACGGGCCGCAGCCAATGATAGCGAACTGATGCTACCATTGGCTGTGATGCCTGATGACTCACACGCTTTTGAAAAAGGAGGATTGGGTTGAGAAAAAGCCGAATCTGAACTATTGAAGAAAAAACTCAAAAATGGTTTCTTATGCGCACCACGGGAAAAAGCTGGAGCAGCCGTTAAGAATGCTTGTGCACTAACGCGTGAGCGTCTTTCCAGGGCCCTGCCAGAGCCATGGACACCTTCGGCACGGTGCTGGAATGACGCTGGCAAAATTAGAACATAGTCTAAGAGAGACATACTTATTTGTTGAAATCTCAATATCTCCATTCGCATGATAGTGAAAAGCTGGGAAAAATTTCATCGCTATGATTTTGTATTATAATGTCATTCCATCTAGAAAATCATGTTCGTGACAAAAAAGTTGATTGAACCACCAGCAATCTCCGCTGCAGCTATTTTCAACTGTCAATTTCCGCTTCTGCATCCGTTTCCGGGATTACATCTCAGCAGCGAAACTCAGTATTGGATTTTTTGACTCTTCCTACTTCTACTTCCGTTGTGCTGTTCTGACAGATGCGCCGATAGAAGATGACATTCAGAGTAATAAACAACAAGGACATTCATATCTTTTACATGCCGCGCCAAAAATAAGCGAATACGAAATCTGATACGAGTTAGGTATATTTGATACATCCCATGAAATCTCAGATTAGCTTTCCGCCAACGAAGAGTCAGGCTATCAAATCTTCATCATCTACTCTGCACTCTTTGTTTTGCGAGCAACTTGGAGTAGGTAGTGAGCAGTCCATAGCAAATTCTTCGAGCCAATCACTGAGAGTGTTCTCGCATCTTCCAACGTGCATAAGCGGATAAGTTCCATGCATTTATTAGTAGAGAAAGTGTCAGTTGAGGAGGCAACTCAGCTGCAGCAGAGCGACTTCATTAACGAAACACTAGTCCTAGCTTTGTTCGCTCAGGTGACAGCTTTGCTTTATCTCCTCTTGTCGTCCTTTACTGTAGTATATCTTGCACTGTTATTATATATATATACGAATTATTATTATTACTACATATACATTACATATAATTATATTTTGCATATTACATATACATTATCCATATTCATACTCATATTATTATTATTATTATTATTATTATTATTATTATTATTATTATTATTATTATTATTATTATTATTATTATTATTATTATTATTATTATTATTATTATTATTATTATTATTATTATTATTATTATTGCTATTATTATTATTATTGCTATTATTATTATTATTATTATTATTATTATTATTATTATTATTATTATTATTATTATTATTATTATTATTATTACGATTGTTATTATTGTTACATATTAGGTTATTACGTTATTATATTGAATTATTATTATATACTATATTATTGTGTAGCGTACATATTTTTGAATCACGGCAGTTGTTATGTTTTTAAGAAGTTGGTCTATAAATCTTGCGCAAAAAATGTTGAAAATTTGTTAGAGACATGTTAGAAAAACGTTTCAAATTGCCATTTTATGTGTTTGTAACACCAAACAAATGTTCTAATTCACTGTACATGTTAGGGTGTGATTGGAACAAAATCGAAGTGTCGAATACAGATTTTGAAAGTTGTAATTTTTCGCAGATGCGTCTATAGCACGAATCCTCTTAGTTGAAAAAAAGCGGAAAAAATCAACCTATACTAACAAGTAAAGCAAATCTTTTGGGCTTCTTTTAGCGACCGAAATTATGAGATTTGGTATTTCTCTTCATCAGCTTGTATCGTTGTGATAGAATTTGATTTTACAAGCTTTGAATAAGTATGTTCTCTTTCTAATAATTCGCTGAACTTAGAGGGAAACACGAATTACTGATGCAAAACTTATGGACTTAGTCTATTGAACAACTTCTTTGACCAATTTCCTGTCACTGCGTTACTTCTACAAATCAAATTCAAACTCTATTTTTATCCCTTTTGCAGTGGAAAAAAAATTCAGTATGAATATTTAGCACTGTGAGACTGAATGTTATTTCACCATGTGAAAGCCTAAAGAATGTAAAAACTGAAAGAGCGCGTACAATACATTTTTTGCGCGCAAATATTGTTAACACCGCGGGGAGCACGATAATTACGGTAATGTTTGACACACTATAGCTCCAGAGCAGAACTAGTATTTTTTTTTACTTTGAGGAAAATCACAGTCTCATTTACAGTCAGAAAAGCCACTAAAATCTCGACAATTCTTTATTTGCAAGCGTTATTGCAGGAAATTTTTGTATGAAAAGTAATATTAAGCTCCCTCCTCTCTCTGCAAAATGGAAATCTACAGTTTTTCTGTAACGTCTAGAATTTCAGTTTGATCGCGCCGTCCATCGTCTCTACGCGGATCCTGGCCAAGTGTGCACGAATCAGGTTGCAGACCGACTATTCCAGCGTCTTTACTGGGCACTAAGAGCTCTCCAATACAAACTATTTTATAAAGACGAAGGTGGGCCCTGACTTCTCTTTTATGTCCGATTACCAAGTGATATTATATTAGAATGAATTTGTTGTAGAGCTGGACGTGGACGAAGTGACTGAACGTTGGGAGGTTGGTGTTCAACCTCCATCGCTTGATGAGTTAGCTCGAACTACCCGTTTCAATCGACGATGGATCAAATACATGTACGCTAAATTCAAAAATGTGAGTTTGTTGATTTCATGGCAGGTTGTCTCAAAGTGAAATAGCTGAACGTACTAGGTAAGAACCCACAACTTTAATCTTCTCGAATAGGTGCAGTCATTTTTTTCAATCCAAGTAACAGAAAAGTTATGGACTAAAGTCCGATTAGTCAATTGACAATCTAATAAACATGTAAATGGCAAGAGAGGAAGCTACAATCAAGAGCTTCTAAGTTACTTTTAGCGTTTGAGGTTGATGAGAATGTCCAAAATTGGTGAAAAGGGTTGCGAGGTATGTACTAGATAATCAATTACCATATAATCTAATTGATAATCCTTCAGCATCTGACAGTCTCTATCCATATAAACACAGACGAAATCTGCAAAGGTAAACAACTTTGGATGCTATAATTCCAGTTAAATTCGCTGTATCAAAATGGCTTTTGACCTGAGTACAGTTACTCGAGTTTCTTTATTTTTTCAACACTAGCCACCTTATAATTCGGTTTTGAGTTGGGTGTTTTTTCGTGATTGATAACTGCTAGACGTTCTTCTCTTAGTAGGAGCCTTTAATGTGCAAATAATAATAATATCTAGGATACTAACATTGCAAGGGACATAAAACAGATTAAATCATATTGTATTGACATCAATAGGGAGGTGTCGCAACATAAAATTGATAGGTTTGCAAGTCATGGTAAACAATCGCAAAAGCTTGGTTAAAACTGACCTAAGCGAAGAGTCCTGCATCGACGGAAATCAAAGTAATTCAAGTAATTAAAGCTCATGTTAAGCCTACTACATACTCTGTTGCAATCCCCAGTGTGGAAGCTAAAATTGTGTTTTAAGCAAATAATTCAGATGATCGGTGGCTTCTGATTGTGAGATGAAAAAAATTTTCTCTTGTCCTTTTTTTAGAGTTTGTCATTATAGTTTGCCAACAAACAAAAGCATTTGAGCAACAGCATGAACGTATGGCTATTTCAATGTAGTCATTAGCTTTGCCTAATGAAAAAAGACTTGCAATCATACACTTTATGTTTTTCAAGGAACAGATTAATTTACAGCTAAGTGCTTGCTATGCAAATTGCAGGTGTTATTTCCATGTGCACAGAAAATCCTCGCTATTATTCTGGAAAATTCAGATACTGGAAGTCCCTTCGCGAAGCGCTGAGATGGTCTGAATAGAATAATCCTGAAAAAAGAGTCATGACAATAACAAATTACAGAGAATATACAATTTTACTTGTAAGTCTAACGACCTTGAGCAATTAGTTTGTAAAAGTGATGAATTTGTATACCGCAATGTGGTAACAGAACTTCGAGTCGGGTAGCGGGAAAATTTTTTTCTGGAGCGAACCAGGCGTAGTCAGGTCTCACGAAAAATTTCTACGTAGCAATTGTTTTTCAGTCAGAAATCACTTTTTTTATCAAGACATTCATTAGAGAAGACAAATCGTTGCAAATTTTTATCTCCCATTAATCAGTCTAAACTGTGGACCCATCCTCAAGACACAAATACGCAGCTTTGCTGCAGTACAGTGCTGCAGTCCTTAACATTTCGTATTCGTCTTGAGTATCACAAATGATTATTTCCATAAGACCCGACTCTCTCGAATACTGTGTCTACAAAGATGAGTTTACCGCTGATGATGGGGAATTATGGGAGACCGCGGATAATAGGAGAGGAAAAAATGCATACTGTAAGCTTCTCAGTTCGGATAATGACTGCGAAAAAAAACATTGCAGTGGAAATGCATACTAAGCTGATGAAGTCAGCCTGAAAGTGAGGTGCACTGCGCTTGAATTCCAAATCTAAAACCTCTCAATTAAGCACGGGGCTTTTCACAAAAAACTCATGGGCTGCTTCTGTTTCTGAAATATAAGAAGATAGTTCTTGAGTTCAGGCTTGCCAAAAGTGATACATGCCTCAGAAATTAAAATTCTTTCAGTTTTTCGATCACTTGCAGTTGCTGATTTCATGATCATTGAGTCTGGGGATGGATTAGGTGTTGACATCAAGTAAAACTGATCGTCTCTATCTGTAAATCTGTTATTCAAAGAAGACGAACCCGCTGCCACTAGAGAATCTTGCAAGTTTGGGCTACAGATTTTTGCGTGTTATACAAAAAGTGAAGTCGCAAAAATTTGGAAAAAAAAACGGCTATAATTTTCTACTTAAATACTTCACAAGCACTGCGTGCTAAAGACACCGTGAAAACTTTATTTTTTGACTGTCCGACCTGCTAAACACATATACAAACAAGGAGATGGAAGTCCACAATAGAAGAAAGGATATCCGAAAATATTCCATATTCTCCTATAAGCTTGATAAGAAGAATAAAGGGTAATAATTCCCATGTCGAAATAAAGCAGCTCGCAGCCATGTTACTGAACAGCTAAAACGAAAAAACGTTTTTTTTCTCAAAGGTTCCTCGTCTTAAGAATTCTCTCCCTTAGAAACCCACGAGAAGAGAACATTTGATGCAAACGATAAGGACATCAATGAATTGTACTTTGCAGGAATGTCCTTCGGGACGAATGCGAGAACACGAATTTCGGCATGTACTCTCAGCGATTATTTCGCCAGAAAGAGCTACTGATCAGTACATTGCACGACTTTTTCTAGCATTTTCAAGCGATGACAAAAAGACTATCACGTTCCAGGTGAAGAGGAAACTACTGAAATCTATTCCAGTTATGAAACTCGAGTAATTTTCAGAATCTCATCGAATGCCTCTCACTCATTCAACCCCAAACAGCGGAATCAAATGCGCGTTGGACGATACGAATCATCACCGGCTGCCAAACGGATCGTTTCGCATTCCCGGTACTTCGCAACTTTTTGAGAATACCCATGCTGCGTAACAATGCATTGGAATTCCAGGAATTCCTCACATTCACTCAGGCGGTGTTCGGCCTGAATGAAGGAAAACCGGGCGAATTCAGCGAAGATAGTAATGGAAACCGAGATAAAAACAAGGAATCCGTGGAGCATCGCGCAACTACTATATTTAATGTGAGTTTAAAAAATGCTAAGAAACCAATGGAAAAAGAATCAACGTAGCAGCATCTCTAAACTTTTACATCGCCTTAGTACCCGCGCTAGAGACTCACGGTGGCTGAGTGAGCTGAAGATATGATATTGACTGAAAATTGCGAAGTCAAGGTTGCCAAAATTATATGCATGGGAGTCAGTTGCCAAAATTCTATGCATGGGAGTCAAAGCATTGAGTATAACAGCATCTAGTCAATAGCAAATGATTCTTACACTTTGTTCAAGATTCATGTAAAAGAACATATTGAAGATTACGCTTCTTACATAACGTAAGTAAATTAACGCACTTTAACCCTTGCTATGAAAGGATCCTTTTCCATTAATCATTTTCTTTGTATGTATGGTTGCAAAATCCATACACCTGCTCATGTACATATATATTGTCTTCACATTGTCCTAAGTATTTTACAAGTTTATCTAAAGCTTGTTTCATGCGATGTTTGAAGTCTCAGAATTTTTTTCTCGTCAGTACTGGAACCTGTTTCTCATATACACTCTCTCCAAAAATACAAAATAGAAAACAGATGGATACAATCCTCTTATTTGAAAAGTTAGTTAAAAAGTCAAGAACAAACCAATTTTGTTACCAATTCAGAGATTAGACAGGCAACACTATTCAATCAAATTGCGTTCGCAACTCTCTTTCCAAGATTCATCATTTTTACCGCTCATCTATTATGGTATCCGAGCTTTACAGAAAGATTGTTTGCATAAAAATACGAGACAAAACATAGGAAAAGCTTATTATCTTCATTTCCATTGCAATGTGGACTACTAAGCGTCTTCATTAAGGAAATAACTTCACTACGAGAGCCAAATCATTCAGCAAGAAGTATTTCTTTTCATCTTCTCCACGATATTCTGCCACGTTTTGAACGTCGCATACACAGAAATTTTTCATGCAACACCTTACGCATATTACACCAAATCTAACCATTTTACTACCGCTTTTTGCTCTAAAAGAGCGCTTAGATGCTACGAATGTCCCTGATAATCGTGATCGTACATCTATTATAAATGTCTAACTGAAGAATGTTCAATGATCCCATTCAGCAAGTCTATTCTAGGAACTAGATAGCAACGGCGACGGCTTCGTGACGTTAGACGACATGACACGGTTTTTTCAGGTACATAATCAGACATACTGTCACTTTATTACCTACAATACTAATATGTACTATTCCAGTCCTTTGAAATCTCCTCACAAACAGCGCCAATGAGACGACCTAATAATCTTCCAGTTTGAGATATAACATATTTTGTACAATCATGAACAACCAATTGAAATTAATTAAGCAATAAAAATCTATGAAAATGGGAACAATAAAGATGTACATACAAATTCGTGCAAGGATTGTAAGAAAGGGAGCAGAAAGAGTAGTCGTAGCAAAACGCTAGTGAAAAACAGGATTGAGAACGATGTTCATGCAGTTCCAAATGCCGAATGAAATACTGGTCTGCCTGATATGTACGATAACATCCGTACAAGAAAAAAAAGTAAACCTTTTGACAACTATGGACGGTCAGGAAACTCAGTTATTAGACCTACGACTACTTCGCGAGTCTTTCGAGAATTTTTTATGGCAAACGACAAAAAATGGCTAAAATTTTGACTAGAGTAGCAAAAAGATGCGAAATAGAAAAAATCAGAGTCCATATATAACGAGTTCTAATTTTAAGTCAATGATCAAGATAACAGATAATACTATGGTTTAATCAAACTATCTTATATCCTAAAGTGATCTACCATCAAACGTTAAGCTCACAGACAATCCGATCATTTTCAGAATGATTTTCTAACCACAACATCAACAGACATAATCAAGGAGTGACTCAAAGATAATTTTGTTAGTGGACGTTAGAAAAAGCTCATTGAAGTATAAAACGACACATTGTATGACTTTTGAGGAAAACTGTTTGAACGAAATGGAATAGTAGTCTTTTGAACTTAGATAGATCCTTGTACATGCATAACGGTCTGACCTCTAAAATTAGAATAAATGCAAACGTGCCGAAAAAAAACAAGGAGACATCTCATCGGCAAGGTGGAGCCGAAGTGAATACGTGTGCAAAGTTGATTAAAGGAAACATCACTGCTGAACCAGCAAAGGACCCTATCTAAAAAATGCATTTTATGCAAAACAGTGACTCTAGTCAAAGAAAACATCACAAACCTGAATAAATACTCCACACCAAAACAATCTACTCTCACTCTTTTCGCCTTCTCTCAAAAGAGAAGCGAAGATAACCCGAAGATAGGAATGCAAACCGGCAGCGACCAAAGAAGCACCTATCTGCAAATAAAGAATCTTGGAAAAGTCCGTTGCAGAGAAGGAAAAAAGAATCCAAGTACAAAGCAAAAGGTGAAACTTACAGCGAGACAACTTCCTACTGTGTACGAGTCAAATATGAGATTAGGACTAAGAGCAGCTAAAAAAATGATGAAAGCAGTCACAACTGACGAGCATATAGTCATGGTGCATAGCAATGGTATAGACCTGTAAAAGCGATCAAGATCTAAACTTTCTCTTTTTTTTCAAAAAAGGGAATGATAATAATCAACATAACACTATGAATGACGGTAACATAGTGGTAATATAAACTTTTTGTGACGAACCTTACAGTAACGAAGAAAGGCAGAAACGACATCGCAGGTGAAACGATATTCGCCAAGGTAATACCGTAGTGATATGTTGCCTGTAACAGTAACCATCACTAAATACTACGGAGACGTACGAAAACTTACGTGAGAATACGGTAGCGCTGCATAGCTCGTCACGCTCGGAACGATGCCGTTCATTTGTGCATTCACAATCGCAGTGGCGACGAGAATTAAGATGTAACTGGATTCGTACTTTCGTTTTACTCGTTTCGATGGCGAAGATGGGACAACTTCCACTTCCGGAGATTCCTTAGGTTGACAACAATTATCTTAATCAAAGTCAAGTCACAAAATTTCTGTAATCAATTAACTCTCTAACTAATCTTGAACCATTTTCAAATCACTCGACACCATTATGCAAGAATCTTCCATGTACATAGACATATTGTCCTTTCTCATGCATTGGCGTGATACGATGAATTCGTAATCCTTTTGCGTTAATGCCCTGCCGCAGCTTAGGGTGGCATTCAATCTCATCAAAAAAGGATAGTGAACTGTAGAATTTGGACTTGACATTCGTAAACAGGGCGGAAGTTTGAGAGTTTAGTTGTGGATCGAGGGAAGAATGGAGGACGCCTCTTCCAGAAGAGCCGTGAATTTCCTTCTCCAAAATTATCTATTGAGTTAAGAGATTATGATCATGACTTATTTACTTGCAGATAGTTCGAGAATTTTATTTGAAATACAAAAATCCAAACGAATTTTGTAAAAAAGTCCGGCTTTTTCAAATTTTATGAATATGAGCACCAAGACTTTGGCAACACAGACCATTCAGAAATATACGTCGTACCCTTTTGAGAAGATTATGGGACCGATACTGCTATAGTCTACCACTACTTCGTTCTCCTCAAAAAGAGTGCGAGAATGAATATGCCGGGAGATACGGAGAGAGAAAAAGGAAGAAGTAGAGAGAAACAAAGAGCGACACACTGAGAGAAAGAGGACGCAGGATAAAGAATCTGATTAACCTAAATGTAGCTAAGGACCTCATATCATTCAAACTTTTTAATGTCATGAATGGGAACGAAAGATAGGAAGTTTTATACCTTCGCATGCAGTGCTACACTATGCTCGTTCACTTCTGCCGTATTCGATTTCGCCTTGCTTAATGGCGTTTCCTCATGGGCAGCGTCTGTGGATTTCGGTGCACTACAAAAATTATAAGTATTTACGTTATATGATATTGTTACGACAAACCTGTTGTGTTCGCCGCTTTTCGACAAAATTTGGAACGAAATGGTAGCGGTCACAGTCCAGACAGTAATAATGAGGAAGAACGTAGATGCCGAAAATCGCGGAGGCGAGTAGATGGGCACTGCTCCTTCGCATTCATAGTTACCGACTCCTAAATTTCTACGACTGACGGTGCGCATAGTGTCACAAAAAAGGTCGACTGATGGATTTCGTTAGTAACTAGTTTTGCTAGAATGAGTGATAAACAGCTGAACAAACCTTGAGCTAGCGATACAAGACTTGGAAATAGCGAACTGAGTCCCATTCCAACGAAATAAGCGTTGAGATAGGCACGATTGAATTGTGCCATAAACGGCATGAACAATACGTTCGAAGTAGCATTAACAATGGCTAGACCGAAAAGAAGTACATAAAGAGCAAGAGAGTGTTGCCCACTTCCGATAGTTGTGGTACGCCACCACATAAAAACTAGGCCTGAAAGATACAGATGAAAGCAAAAGTACATAAGATTGTGATTAAGGAAACCAACCAAATTCGCATGCGCAGGCTAGAGTCAGGAATGCCGTTATGAGAGGAACAGTTGGTAAATTGATGTTTTTACATCCTTTGTGCAAGATACTATAAACAAGAGGCCCAACGCAAGCGATCTGCAATAACAATAGTGAGTACCTGGTAATCAGAAAATTTTCAATCCTCGGTCAGCCTTGGAAGCCTCAGGCGGGGATTTTCGTTCATGTGCTATAATCTTACGAATTTTCCACTGTTAAAGACAAGCAACGCACTTCCGAAAACAAAAATTGTGAAACTCCACAAAAAAAACTCATGACATAATGCTTTGACGTCATCAGCCCCCATTATTTCAGATGAAATCGTCAAGTTTATATAATTCAATCAAGTTTTTCTAGGAATCACATAGTTCTTCGAGTCGCTGACTTTAGAACCGGTTCCATGAAATATGTGCTATGGCAGCAATAATCTGCACAGCCTATATTTATCATTTTATATGACAGAATCTAACAGTCAAGGAAACATTGAAAAGAAGTCGAAAATTGTAACGGAACTAGATTAACAACTTTCTCTACTAATCTGCAGAAAAACTGGGTTTTTTAAGCCCGAAATATTTACTCAACGGTTTTTATACCCTTCGCATATAAGGCTAGAAATTCTACAATTATGCTGCTGTTTTAGAGTCCTTGGGTAATCAGTAACACTGTCTGCACCTAGGTTCCTCAAAGTCGGCTTCGTGTCATCGCAAACGCTAAGAATGCACTGTTGCCTTCCAGCATGACTACTAGCATTTTTCTACTTAATTAACTGCAGACTTCATAAATACCTGAACTATGGCAGCTAGGTAGCTTGGAAGTCCCCATCCTTCGGGAAGATGAGCAGTAAGGAGCGGAAGCTGCATCCATACTGAATTTGTGCCCATCCATGACGTAGATCCGAAGATGATTACCAAGGCAAAGATGAACCGTGATACTGCCATCTAAACTAAGGCGGATCATGACGCAAAACATAGTTACGTTGACAGTAAACGCATAATAAAGTTTTCTGAAGGAAACTATTCCGGTAAGGCGTCGGGATGTGAATACCATAACTATTGTAAGAAAAGGGGCGGTGAAGCACTTCGTACTGATGTACTTTTTAGAACTAAAGTTGAACGACGGCGAGGTAAACTTATTGATAATCTTGTGAACTCCATTTGATGTTTGTGCACTGTTTACGTAGAATCACAAAAGCGATAATTCTTCAAGTTTTCTTGAAAAATTATCCAAGGACTTTAGTGTGCATAGCCGATTGTTTGTTCAAAAACTAGTCTTAGGAATTAGGAGCGAAAAAGCTTTAACTATGAGTTCAAAAAAGACTGCAAGAGCAGCAAATTTTTGTAGTTCAAGCTAGAGAATACAAGGAAAAAGATGTTCAATATAGTATCCGTCATAAAGTGTGCTAGAAAACTCACTGAAAATATCAGTCGCAATCTGCGAAGGAATTTTCAAAGATATTACATAGGTACTATGAAGGTGTTAGAATGCTCCTCCTTGCATTGGGCAAGGTCTAAGATAATGAAGCCTCTGTTGCATAATTTTCTTAATCAGTTCCCAATGATGCTGATGATCGAATTTTGCTAGAAAAGGACATTTTGACTTCCAAGCCAAGCTTGATAAAAATACACATCAACGTTCGATACGGCATCACCTTCCCTTCAACCAGATTAGTAAAGTCACGCATGATCGATGTTCGTGCACGATTGGAACGATTTCAGACAGAAAGAAGATGCTCATCAAACAAGATAGCTGGTACAAAATCCGTGAAACACCTTCATCACTAACAATACGGTATTACACAACAAAGTTTCCAACATCATAAGGATTTTGAGCCAGGTGGAAAAATGATTCGACATACTCACGGTAAATGAGAATTTTCACGGAAGCTCAAAATTTCTTACGAACGATCACTTTGTGTAAAGCGATTGCTACACGAGAAAACAAGCAGACTTTCATGACAAACATCATGGGTGCTAAATCAATCTCACTACTTAGCAAAAAAACTTCTTGATCAAAATGCTCTGGGCAACCTACTTTGAAAGATCTTCGAAAATAGAAAAGAACATATTGATTTTTGATTTGAATACGACTATTACCAGCCACCTCTACAACATATAGCCTAGGACAGCTGCTTCGGAAAAAACAAAAGAATGAGCATATATATTATATGTGCAATCATCCTAAATTCATTCACGATTCAAATTTCATAGAGAATACAGTGGAGAAGTCATTCAACAGAATCTCGTATATACATATGAGAATTGGTCCGCAAGTTCTGTTGCACCATTTTCAGAAACCATAATTTCCTGCTTTCTTGTAGGTTTTGCATAGTTGAAATTTTGTTTGAAAGAGGATATCATTTATCTCTAAAATTATAGATGGCACTCTACAAAGCAGTCAAGAGATAGAAGCTGTAGAAGAAAGTCACAGAAATTTCAATTTTTCGTAGTGCCGCCAAAAATCTGAAGCTCGCACTAGACATGGGAACATTCGCTGTAATAGAATAATCTGCTCTATCTGAGCCAAGTTTGTGTTAGATGAGAGGTAATATGAAAAGCTATGATTTTCGAGAAATGAGTCATAAAATTTGCCGTTTTCTATAGCTTGCTCGAAAATCATAACCTTTCATAGAGAAGCTCAATCAAAGCAGATATCACTTGAATAGAAAGAACCGATTACATTGGCAGATGTTCCAATTCGCAAGTTTCAGATTTCTGGGGATTTTACAAAGAAAATCGAATCTTGACTAATTTTCTTCTATAGCTTCTATCTCTACAAAGTGTGCTTTATGTAGGGCCATTTCAGCACTGTTAGAGAGAGGATGGTTTCCTCTTTTGAACAAAAAATATAACGAAGGTTTGAATTATAGAAATAGTGTGACAGAACTTTCGTGCCAACTTAATTTAAGAACAATCCTGTTCAAAAAATCAACCAATTGGTGACGCTGTCATGATCAATGAAACTTCAGCAAAATTTGATTCAAAAAAATCTACTGATCATACGCACACCGGTAACGCAAAAGTGGACAGACAGAACTGACACGCCGTAAACTACTCAGCCGTACAGAAACTCGCAAAATTCACGTTATTCCTTCATGATCCATAAGAAAGTGTACTTATGAAGAGACACAGGTAAGAATAGGACGTTATCAGCGATTATGCTCATTGTGATCGTCTCGACCCGTATACAGAATATTGCGAATTGTGGATGACTTGAAGCAAGTGCTTAAAGGCACCGTCCACCCAGATTTTTGACTACCATGTTTTTGTCGTTTCAGGGCCTTCTCATGTCCCTGCTTCCGAATATGAAGTCGAGAATCCGCGAAAATCCCGACAATCCCCGTTCCGGAGAACCCACAGGCCGGCTTTCCGGAACGGTGATTGGATGGGCGCGCACAAATGGGCGGGCATGGATAGGGGAGGGCGGGCATGGATGGGGGTCCTCGTGCATTTTCGCTATTTCAAAGCGATTTTCTCGCTTCCAAAGCGGCATTTTGCGCCGCAACTTGGGCATTGGGTTGATAGAGGACCCTACTATTATATGCTGCCAAAAGCTCAACACCCTCAACTTAGGGTGGACGGTGCCTTTAAGCCTGCCATAACCTCCTGCATCGCCATAACGTCAAGAAGGTCGAAGCAGGGAAACGAGTAATCCCATCAATAACTGATGACAGGTTGCCCAATTCGGATGTTTGAAAGTTTCAAAGGTTTCAAAAATTGCGAAATTGAACAAAATTTGAAAAAAAAAAGTCTGACGAATGTGAAAACTGTAATGAACTCCATCGTAAAGGGCATCCTGTCTGCACTTATGTTATCAGCACTGATGACCAGAGATAACATATGGATGGCAGTACAACTTGCGTAAAAATCAAGGCCATTTGCCACACTATATGTTAGACTGTGAAACTTCAGTCTAGACTACGCTATGCGAAAAGAAGTACGAATGCTACCAATGCTGCGCAACAACTTTTTCAGCGCAGAAGCACTAGATTGTGATAAAACAAAATCGGCAATTAATAGCTGAAAGGTCTTCATTCAGCAACAGCTTCCTGTAGCTCGTTCTTCTGCAAAATTTACGACTCTTGGTAGACACAGGAGGAGATACCTCAGGCCATTTATAAAATCGTGACGACGGATTTGACTGCGGTCGTTCCGCCAACAGGAGCATAAAACACTCATACAAAAATGCATCATCTCAATGGTCAGCTCAATCACTTTCAGTGACTAAATATTAAGATACGTAAGCAGAAAAAGTTTTCGAGTAGAGATGAAAACCAAGAAAGCGACCCCGGCGATTGCCGGGAATACGGGCGTGTCGTGCGAGATCGCACCATCGTCACGATTTCTCGAATGCCCTATATGTGTTTGAGTACCGAAATCTCATATTCATTCATTCCACAAGCTAGTTTGCTTACGAGCATTGCATCTCTTATACTGAACGCAGATCTTTTGCGAAATCACACTTTTCACTACAATTCCTACTTACTGCCGCAGGGACCGACATACTTAGAAGTGAATAGGTAAAAAAGGAAACTGGAAATAAATACCTATGTTGGAGAAGAAAATATAGATGCCAGTAGGCAGCGCTATCGACAGACAAAATCAGCTGTATTCAGAACTAGAATATGACGTTTGCCAGCAAAAAAGCGACGGTGAATCAGAAAATAGTCTTCCCACCCAATGGATTGTCACTCCTGTTTTTGATTCGAACAGTAGGTGTGACAACGACGCCAGCCTCAGTAAAACGTTTTTGTATGAAGGTGCGAGCAGATAACTTTTAGAACCGATAGGCAGGCAAACTCTACTGCAGAAACTGTTTACAGATATTGAGTCCGGGAAAGGAGAAGAAAAACATAAGGAATTTAGACGTTAAAAAACCACAGACAGGACGAGAGCAAAAAAGACAGAAAGCTGCGAGGAAACGAAGTATAGTGTACACTAATCTTCTTCCTTCTCCCTTTATTTGAAAACCCTGAACCTTGAGATGCAGTAAATAGGAAAAGGTTTATAGGAAGCATAGTACTCAAGCACGTAGTATACGCAAATTAACAAAAAAAACAATTGTAGGAAAGAATGGTTGCACCAAGTAATAACACCCCGGAAAACTCGACATCAGCTTGAAGCTTTAATTTGATGCGTACTCGCGAAAAGGGCCCATGCTACGGATACGTACAGCCCCTACACGACAGCTACTAGCGCTGCAGAACGGCAGCCGGTATATGAGTCGTGTTCACATTGCTTAAGCCTTGGGCATATTTCAGGCGATTTCAGTCGCGACGCGATTTGATGATCCGCCAGACATCTCCAAATGCAACACTTGCACTTTACAAATCATGATGTTTATGACTTCCGCAGGTTGATGACATATCTTTTGTACATTTAGAATGCGCTTACAATGAGCCATGGCGAATGGATTATTGCTAGAACGCGTTGTGACTGAAGTCTCGTGAAGCATGCCCGGGCCTCAGTCGATACAATGATAGTGCCTGCCTTGGGCAAGTTCTGCATTTTCTGATATGTGCAATTGTGAAAATTTTTGTTCACAGACCTCTTCCTACCCTCCCTCAGAAATTCAGTTTTCTCAAAGACGCGCCACTATAGGGCAACTGTGATTGCTTGGAGCTAACAGCGACGTGTTGTTAGCTACCAGCAAATACAGCTGCATTATGGTGACATGTATGTGGATTATTTTTGCAATTTCGTAAAACATCGATGAAGCCTTATCAGGACTACCAGACCGTGGAGGACAACGAATAGAATGAAGGAAGCGAGGACAGCGTGAATTGACTAAAGCACAGATATAACTCTGCGCATTTTTACGCAGTGGAACGCTTCTGTCTCAAAAGAAACCGTTCGTTTGCGAGCGGAGTGCATCTGCAGTATTAGAATCGATAAAGATATGTGCTCCAATGAGGGCAAAGGTCGGAGATAAGAAAGATAAAAAGGTAAACAAATATGGTATGCAAGATGCTCACAGAGTTTGATTGCACGCAACCAATATGTATGCGTGATGACGTTGAAAAACCACAACAAATGTATTTGCAACGCATAATAAAGTGTAGAGTGCTCCAACTTCTCACTCCCAGAACAAATGTGAGCAAAGAAAAGCCTAAAAAGAAACAACGGTGGCATCTCACCTGATATCATATCACATCCATCCACAATTATTCATTTCATGGTTGCTACGACCCGAACATGAACCGTCGACAATTATGGCAGAACCAATATCCTTGATTCATGAATTGAAATAGCAGACTTTTTCATTCGAACTTTCAAGGTGACAATTGTAATGCGAAAGTTCGTCTCGAGTGGAACGGAACTCGGGCGGCGCCAATCGTGATTGGAGCAGTCACTGTGACTGGAGCGTCCCCCGGCCACTTGAGTTGTACTCTTTCACTTTTTCTTCCCTTTGTTTTGCTCCACGTTTTGTATACTTTATTATCTGGAATTAACATCTATATCTGTGGGCCGTAATCACTTTTGTCGAAGGTTTCGATTTGATTGGGGAAAATATGTTGAATTGAAACAGCCGAGCACTTCATCATTTGTATCCTGTGTTCTCGTTCTCGATGCATGTCTTAGAGGGATTTATCCATAGTATAAGAAAAGTACAAAAGTTTTTGTGGAGGACCTTAGTGGTTGCGTTTTGGTAAAAGTGCTAGTTCATGCAATTTGATTAGCTTGCAAAATGCCTTTGCTTTATATGTGCATCTCCTAAAATCGTTCCCATATGAACCATCAACGTGGCTGCCTTTCGATCGTTTTAACACGTTAACTCCAGCAAATCTAAGGCGCTCATTCGAACTTGACATGTTAAAACGATCGAGAGGCGGCCACGTTGAGTTCCAAGTGGGAACAATTTTAGGGTATGCACCATACATGGATGGTAAAAAAATGCAAACTTCTAACAAGTTGTAATCTGGAGAGGTGCCGCTGTGGACAGATTAGATCAGCAGCTTAAAATCACATTTTTGCCTGATGTCGAATTTACAGCAAAAAGGTACAGTTTGTAGAGCCGTTGATATGAATTAGGTGCACAGAAGTGCTCAGACTTTTGAATAGTTGTATCGAGTTATACCGTTCTAGTACCGTGGAAATCAAAGGACCCCTAAAGCTTCAAATAGCAGTTAGCCTCCAAAAATAGTGCGACTATCCATATCAATCGTTGAGGCCATGTATGGAAGCTGTAAGCTTTGAATCTTACTAAAAGTCAGCTCTAGAAGTTGGAGTCCCACAACAAGTAGATTCGTGTTCCTTCCTGGAGTGTGAAGACTATAACCGCAGTTACTCGAATGAACGAACAGTTTCTAACTTTCTTTGTGTGCATATATGTTATGTGTTTTATCCCATCTTGTGTGCTCCGTCTCGCTTATTTTTTTTCACGTAAAAAAGAGTATCTTATTGCTTCAGCCCACACCACTATCTTCATTTATATCTTCGTTAAGTAGTTTGCAGGTAACTATGGTGGTAGGTAAAGTGTATCAGGCGGCTAAATGGACCACAGAGACTGTGATTGGAGCAGCACAAGCCCTTGCTAATACAAAAGGCCCCGTGCCAGCCACAGATCTCCATCCGCGAATGCCCGCTCGACCATGGACAGCTCAAGAATACGTTGGTTTTGCCTGATTCAACCTCATTTATCACCATAGTTGCATGCATTAGTTTTTTGTAAGCCTTTGGCGCTTTCTTGAAGGCAGTGTCCGGACAAGTCGATTTTGCTCGATCTTCTGCTTACCTGGGCCTATACGCTATGGTGAACCCGGAAATCCACACTGGAAAGCGCGAAAAAGGCGAAGAGGGCTCTAACGCAGGAGGGAAATCGGCAGTTGGGTGGAGTCTTCCACTCTGTGAAGTCACCGTATCCACCCTAAGATCGCTAACGGAAAAGCGCGAACGCTTTACTTGAAGCCGGAACGAGAAGATCGCTTTGGAAGTCGGGAGGGGTGACTTCACAAAGTGGAAGACTCCGCCTACCTGCTGATTCTCCTCCTGCGTTAAAGCCCATTTTCGCCTTTTCGCGCTCTCGCATGTGGATTTTCGTATTCACTGTAGTGAATAGGCCCAGCAGAAAATCTCAAAATAGACTTCTTGCCTTAACACTGCCTTTAAATCCGTTTCTGGCGTTTTATCACCTTTCTTGACCACGGTCAGAAAACAAAGGAAATCAAAAAAGAGGTAGAATCAAATCTTTTTCCCATAGTAATTATGTAGATCGTGGTTCTATTTTTCGTTTTCAGCTGCGCATGTGGTCATGGCGTCATTGCTGGAAATACATCCCAGTATTCCGTTTCTACGTCTACTCTGGCATCATCATGTTTGTAATACTGAAATACGTCGTTCCATGTGAGTGTATTTCCATATTCTGGAATTTCTTAGCAATCCAAGCTCTTTGTTTTTTTTTGAATATTTTTATCCAGTGTGCATTTCGAGCTCGCACAAGTATACCGTAACATCTCTATCTCTTTTTTCTTCATGTTCGTTCACTAATCTTTGATCAATGCTTTACGTGGAAGCAAATTCTTGTTCTTGTCAGTTCCGAAATTGCCTAAGCAGGCTTAGTATAATAAGTGATGGGTAGTAGAGATTGATGTGAACTGTTATCGTTTAAATTGTACCAATTTCCCATATTACAGTCAAACCACGTCACAGCATCATGTATCACAAGGGCAAAGCCGACGCTCATCATCACGAGGTATTATTTTGTGGTTTTTGACTTTCTTGAGTTATAATGTGAGATATCACATAATATTATCGCTACTTCCGAGTATCATCAGTTATTTAAACCTGCGCAGCCCATCATCTCAATATCATAGTCTGGTAGATATGCGATCCATCTATTAGGTTGGTAAGAAAGTTCTCGGACATTTTTAGATCAAATCTGTTATATCTTGCATTCTAATGCATGTACATGCGCAAAATTTTGCATCTGTACTCTCAGTTGCCTGTAGATGAAATTTAAACAAGTGGGAGGAGCCTGGGATCGATGGGAGCGGAGTTTGCCACTTTTGAATTACCTCGTTTTTCTTGTTGTTTAAGCTCAAATTTCATCCGAGCTATGCATATAAGTGGGTAAGTATGTGTATGCTATAAAGTGGAGCATGTGGGGGTTCCATAACGTTTATAGAAGTTGGACATCTGGGTTAGAGCAAAAAGCTATGCTTTAGAATTTTCGCTTGAATTTTTATTGAAAACGTTGGTAAGGTTTGCGCTTTGCGCTTACAATAGTTTTGTAGAGATTGCTCTCCTCTATCCAACGGTGTGCAGCATGCCCCAATTAGTGCTTACATCAGAACAAAAACTTTGTCTAAAGGCAATGTCCGAGAATTTTCTTTCCAACCTAATAGATAGAACAGCTTCATGTCTTTGCTCCATCTAGCTTCTGAAGGTATCACGGTACTTTCTGCGAGATTAATGTCTTTATTTTTTCATAATTAGCCTCCCCTTGACTGGAGTCTTAGTCGTCTCCGACGGAAGCCTTTGTGAGAGTTTTGGTTCTATGCTCGATCAAGGCTTTACTCTTTTACCACAGAAAATTACCGCATTCACTATCTACAACCTTCCGCACATATGTCTGGTTTTGTTTGTCCTATTTGGCTTTGGCTTCTACAACATCAAACGTTCAGCTAAGCCTAATTTTTCAATGGTATCGCTATTTACGAATTATTTTTGCGACATTTTTCTCGCTTCTTCTCATCCTTGCTCAACATTATGTTCAGGTTGAACACTGGTATGGTATTAGACAAAAGAAGGCTGACGCTTTGTACTTCAAAAAGTATAATCCACTCAAAAAGGAGGGCGACATCGAAGTAGGAGGACATTAGACGACGATATAGTGCATCAGGTTTTTAGATGTGAATAAATTTGATGAGTTTATCATTGTGCGTTGAAACTCTGTTTTCAATGTTCACCAGTTTGTCTGACATTTTCGAAAATTGTGAGTCTCGTTTTTGTTAATCGTTTTATGTTGATGTATCCCTGCTGAAGCATTTGGATTCCTGCAAAACTAATCTTGTGTCTTTTGAGCTAAAAGGCTAGGAAAAGTGTGATTGCAATAGTAAACACAGCCATTTTTGTAAAATGACATCTGCATGGCCAAAACAAACGCTCAGCGTAGCAGAACTTTCCTGGCCAGACACAAACTAGGTTGTGCTTATGAGCTCACTGGAAAAGTTTTTGATTTTTTTTAATGTCAGGTTTAGTTGTTGTGCGGATTATGGGGAATTCGTTGTGCAAATCTCGACCAAGTTTTTGTCTCTAAACAGTTGTATTCCACTGTTCCTCTGCTTGACAGATGATGATCACAAAACTTGATTTCAGATTACCCTTCTCCTGCTGTCGTGCATTGATAGTGACGTTTTCAAACAGTTAATTTTAAAAAGAAGATCATAACTGAACATTAGCGAACGAGAGTAAATCAGCAGACATCATGTCCGGAATTAACAACACAGACAAACAGTAGAAACTTGAGTAACTATTTCTTTTTACGAAAGCAGAAGTAAACTCAACTAATGCGGTGGATTCGATTAGTGGATTAAATGCCTTGCAAGTGCAAGGATGAATGTGTTGATTTCTTGAGTGCAGTTTCTGATATTTTTGATATCGTCCTCTGCGCCTATATATGTGCAATTTTTGGTGAATGGAATTCCCCTGTTCCGTGTGTTCAAAAGACAATCTCACTTCGATTGCCTTCATCGCCACGGCGAGCGCAATAGTATGCTAATCTCATGTCTGAGATTGCATAGAGGTCTTCAACTTTTATTTAGCAATCGACAATGAATCATTTCGATCCATTTTCTCTGTTGTGGAAAATCGGGATCCAAAGTATGAATGATTCTCTACGAGCTTACGAGAGACTTCTAAGGATTTTCTTCTGATCTCATAACTCCTTGTCCAGAGGGGCTCGCAGATAAGGAAGGCAGATTCGGAATCAGCGTTTGATGTGCGATGGTATGCGTCTCTTCTGGAAAAGCCACGGTCACCAATTATCCTCTCCCCGTTAGTTCTAACTAAAGTTAGTGGACTTTTAGCATTGCGTATCAATATATTAAATTGGTCCAAAAGTTCCTCCCTTTTTTTAACCTGTCATAAAAATACGTGGAATAAAGAAAGACAAATGCTCTGAGCACCATTATATGCAGTTTTTCTTCCTCTTTCCATCAGTTATATCATGAAGCCGTTTGCTTTGGAGATTTTTGAGACAACTGCCGAAATGTCAGACCCATAGTTTTTACCACGCCCAAATTTGACAATTTTTCGAAATCTCTATCCTGAAGTCTTGGAAAGGTTTTGATAGCGGTTAGATAGCGTAAAAAAGTGCAATGCAATGCAATTTTTTTTCGCGTCTTCAATTAGCTTCTTAGTATTTTCAGGATAACTTTTCCAAAAGTCTTCATTTTTGCGAAATCTAAAATATACAAAGGCTCCAATCACTAGCAAATCGTCGCAATTTAAAACTTGCAAAGATCGATTATGATAACACGGTAACTTTACAAAGTATCAGAGTGCTGGCCGCTTCGAAATATCAAACCTCGCATTCTACGGTTACTGCATGAGGCGACCTCAAAACCAGGAATTATGATGATTTTATCGCAGAATACTCCACGAATTGGAAAGGAAAGAGGCCTATCAGAAAGGGGAGAAAAAGCTGTTTTGAATGACACCTTTGTTGTGCTCCGTTTATGTTCTGTGAGTTTTGGGATCATCAAAAGTGGAATTTGATAACATCATAAATATAATCTTGGAAACCTTGGACAGCTATGGGACCAAAAAATTCCACTGCATCGCACTTTGTTTAGGTATCTAACTGTTATAAAAGCTTTTCAAAAAGTTCAGAATGAAGACTACGAAAAATTGCCAAAATTGGGCATGCAAAAACTATGGGTTTGATTTTTGGCAGTAATGAATTCGCCAAAGCAAATGGTCCCAAAACATAACTCATGGCAAAAGGAAGGAAAACTGCGTCTGCCAATGCTCAAATTAATTGCTTGTCTTTATTCCACGCATTTTTATGACAGACTGAAAAAAACGGAAAGGACCGACCTAATATTTGAGGAGTTCGATTTTCAGATTTGAATCTTAAGGATGCTGAGAAGATCTCAATTTCTGCACTTCCTAACAGCGATTTTTTGAGGGAAGTCCAATTCAAGAAATGGTATGATTTCAAAACATTCTCAAACTAGATGGGATTTGTGAGCTTCATATACAACAAATATTGTGATCACTGGAGGAAGTCATCAGGAAGCAGTAGGTTTAGAGTTGACGCTTGCAGTCCGTTCACATGAGGTTGAAATGAAAAAAATCAAAAAGTCGCAATTTGTCAAAGTGCAAAAATAAATTTGTTGATATTAACAAGGGAATGGTCAGAAATCGAAGTGGCCAAACCAAGCAAGCTGTATACTATTCGATGCAATATAAAACGCTGATTTCGAATCTGTCCTTCTTATCTGCTTCCCGCTTCTGTGGACGAAGTTACAAGCGATTTTATTGTGAAAAAATCACACATAAAAACAGCGAAATTGAGCACACTGGTGCACTTTTAGCTCAGCTTCTTTCTTTAAAAATTTGAAGTAGGCTAGCTGCATGTTTTGGCCCAGCATTAAGGCGAACGTGGCTCTGCACGGCTAAACTTTCAATTTCACGCGTAATTTCTTAGCAAAATAATGGTCTTTAATGGCTTGTAGCTTCACCCACAGAAGCGTGAAGCAGATGAGAAAGACAGATTCGAAGTCAGCGTTTTATACTGCATCGAATGGTATACAGCTTGTTTGGTTTGGCCACTTCGACTTCTGACCATTCCCTTGTAAGTTGGTAACAAATCTTTGAATTCGTTGAATAAACATATATTCCATTTGTCGGCTTTCACAGCAGATTTGCTCGAAGATGTCGCAGCGGAAACGCGAGCACGAAATTTTGTTATTGCCGATAGTTTTTGAAGCAAATCACCCCAGTACAAACGCTTGTCATTTAAAAGTCCCAGGCTAGTTTAGAACTGAAGCCTGCAGATTGACCCAACACATCATGAATGAGCTTGTGTTGTTTAACTGGATATAGTTTTGCTTGGTTCGTAGCTGAAATCACGTTACTGGTTGTGGCGGTGGAGTCCCTTCAGAACTTACAGAATACTGGATTTTGAAGGCAGTGTCCGGGCAAAAACTCGATTCCTAGAAAATCCACTTATCGAGGGCTATCTGCAACGCTGAATCCAAAAATGCATATTAGAAGGCGCGAAAACGGCGAGAACATATCATCTATATCATGACTAGGAGACATGTGCCGCATTGCAAAAATTGTCTTAACATGTTTGAGTTTGTTCTTCCATGTTTCCAAAGAGAACAAAACTGGACGAACGAGATAATTGAGAGTTTAACACGTTGAGGATCGCGCCATTTTGGGCGAAACTCCCACTAACGTCCTTCACGCATTTGGCCCGTGTATATGTGCGTATGCACGAAAACATTATGTGGGAGTCTTTTTGACGCTTATTCATAAAACATGCGCACTTTATTCAGAAGTACATGTATACCACAGAGTGTTACCAGGACTTACACAAATCAAGCAGTGGCGGTCGCAGGATTTCGGACCGGGGGGGGGGGGGCGACAAAAAAATTTTTCGGTTGAAGGTGCGCGGCTTTAGCCACGTACTCCGAAAAATTTTTTTGGGGTGCTTCGCAAAATTATTGCGGGCCCCGAAAATTTTTTTTTCATAAGGCTAATTTGAATTTCTAAAAATTTTTAAAGAATATTTCAATTATTTACAAAAATAAACAAGTCGTTTGCACATTTTTATAACCCACTAGATGGCTTACCCGGCTCCGCCCGGCCCTGTCATTATTTTATTCATAATCAGCATGCTCGATTATCCCCCTGTACCAACTCCCAGCCCCGTAGCTCAAATTTTGCAAAAGATCGATAAAATCGATATCGATCGATGACGAAAAGTAGCCTATGACACCCGCCGGGGCGTGTATGTGTGTCAAGTTTGGTCCGGATCGGTTCAGTAATGGAATTTTCTATTCGGAACATGCGTACACACAGACAGACAAACATACAGACAGACAAACAGACATTCAGCTTTATATATAAGATATAAGTAAGTTTCAAAAATTCCGCGACCCATTCTCGGGGGGGGGGGGGCGCCCCTCCCCCCTCGGTACGCCACTGAAATCAAGGTTTTTGCATCGTTTTTCTCTCCAATAAACCATGCGAGGGCTATATCCGGGGGATCCCTCTTCGAGAAAAGCGTTGTAAAACCAGGTGTTTTTTGCTTGATTCATCCTTGTTTGCTTTCAAAACAACTATAAAGAGTTTCCACCTTTTCGGAAAAACTAATTAGCATATATTTACCACATCAAAAATGGAGTGATCACCCAGCTTTGCTGTTCAAACTTCTGAAAAGCTGCCGCGATGCCCTGTGTTCTACAAGACAATCAGGCCACCAGTAGTATTACTGCATAGAAGTTGCATCAGAATTTTTCGATTACACCCAAAAACTAGCATGCATATGCGAGGATGGCAGGGCATGCATACGTGCGTATGCACAAGGTCGTCAAGGTGTTAAGCAAAAGTACCTATGTTACAGACGCAAGTTATGATCATGAACATTTCTTAGGGAAAGCCAGGATACAACAAGCATCAACTTTCTCTCCTTCTTATGAGGACGATTACTCTCACAACAATGGGCAGTATCACTATCACTTCTTTTCACTGTTTAACACAAGTTCTATCTTATATTTCTCATCCAGTCCTTTTTCAGGAATTTTCTACTATTTATGGTATGACAATGAAACGATACTCGATGGTGACCTTTTAATATGAAATTTATGCCATTACACTCGTCTTGGGAGCGCTGGTTCCGAATCTGACTTCTGTTTCTGCTAATTGTTCCTCTGAAAAAAGGTTATGAAGGATTTTTGCGCCGAAGGAGGTAGTCGGAATGCCAAAACCGCAGGTACAATGTGGTGTATGACTAGTCGGATAGTCTCACAAGTCAGTGAAGGTTTAGGTTTCAGTCCTTCTGTTGCACTGCCTCAATCAAACCTCTTTTCGAAAGTTAGGCATCATCGACCGTATTTCTTTTGGGCGACATTTGACGCGGAAATCCTTCATAACTTCTTTTATAGAAACGATTAGCAGAGAAGGAATTCAGATTAGGAATCAGCGTTCCAAGACGAGTGTGATATACGTTTCATCTCAAAAGGCCACAACACGTATCGTTCCCCTGTGAGACAGAATACCATTGCAGAACGTTTTTACAACTTCGTTCGGTCAATGTGGCATGACTTGTCCGCTGTGACCATTTTGAGCATCTTTCGTGTTTCATGTTCTTCTCGACTAATATATCAGCGCTTGATGTACCTAAATTAGGTGATATTTTATTTTTAGTGTATAAGGAAAGTTAATTTGTGCTCTTATGACCACATCGAAAGAAAGGATGTCGACCACTTCAAGCTGTTGAGAGTAACCTAGAGTCAGCAGACTACAGCAAAGAAGGTAATATGGATGATATCGTTTTTTCTAAAGCAATAACGGGGTCACAAAACGTTCAAAATTTCCGTGAACGTCGCAGAATCAATTCTTTCTTCCATCATTGGTCGTCTTTTTTTCTTGAAACGTGAAGACTGAAGTAGGATTGGGACCACCCTGCATATTTGCAAAATTACCATAGAAGATGTCTATGGAGTACATCTGTTTCGGGAAAGAGGTAGACAACATTTGAGTATTTACGAATTTTCGAAAGAAAAATTTATAACTTCTGTAGATGAACAGCAGCGTCAGTAAGGGAGATGTTTTCAAAACCACCTTGTTTTCCGCTTTTAGAGAATGTATAGTTTGCCCGGAGTCTGTTGAAAAAGTGCCTGGTGAGGGGTGTGGGTAGTGATTTCTGGATATTTGCGAGTTTTTGGGATAAAACCGTCTCGTCCTCCGCTTTCAGAAAATTTATAGCATGTCTGAGATTCATTCAGAAAAGTACGTGGGTGAAGGGTGCCCTAGTGATTTCTGGAGATTTTTGCGTTTTTGACATAAAAAACGCATAACTTTTGTAGATGAACATTTTGTACGCCTAGATGGTCACCATTGGAACCGTCTCATCCTCCGCTTTCAGAAAATATATACTTTGGTCCGTTAAAAGTGCCGGGTGAAGGGTGGTTGAGACTTTTATAGTGAGAGTGCTCAAGTGCGTCTTTTTACAATGGTAAAAAAACTTCTACTTGGGCACTCTTATTGTAAAAGTCTCAACCACCCTTCACCCGGCACTTTTTTCAACGGACTCTAGGCAAAGTATATAATTTCTGAAAGCGGAGGACAAGGCGGTTCTAATGGTGACCATCTCGGCGTACAAGATGTTCATCTGCAAAAGTTATGAATTTTTTAATGTTAAAAACTCGAAAATCTCCAGAAATCACTAGGACGCCCTTCACCTAGGCACTTTTTTTGAACGGATCTCAGACACACTATATACCAACTGAAAGCGGAAAACGAGGCGGTTTTAATGGTTGCCATCTCCTTGTACTATCTGTTCATCTTCAGAAATTACGGATTTTTTTATCCTAAAAACTCGTAAATATTCAGAAATCGCCACGCCGTTCATCAAGCATCTCCTTTGCTTAACCTTAGCTCGCTGTTGGTTTTTTTCTCGGCTTTTGGTGAAGGGGGTCACTTTGGTCCCGGCTCAAGGGTGAGGGAGGGGGGGGGGGGGTGAAAAAATTCTCACACTATCGCATCTATGCCCAAAAGTATAGGCTCACCAAGCTTATGTGCAACACATGAGGGCGCGGGGGGGGGGGGGGAACGAAGGGATGGTCAAAAGCCTGAAGCAGTACGAGCAGATGTTTTTGGCTACGCTCTTGTAAGTTTCTCACACAAAACAACATGGTCCGAAAGTTCTACTAAAGGTTGAGTGTGAAGATTTGCGAAGCCAACTTTCACTATCTATACTTCTGAGAAAATCAAAAAAAAATACATTGTCTGATTATGGTATCTGCAATAATGATATACAGATTGCTATAGCAGTGGTAAAATGAATATCACGCTGTCTTCATTTCCGTTTCTTTCTCTACCTGATTTGGATATTGCGAGCAAGTGTGAGAGCAGCACTTCCAGCGTGTCAGCTAAAATTCGTTTTCAGTCAGAAAGCGGGATATCGCCCATTTTTTCAGGAACGGTCTTGAGAAAATACCATACAATGTCATTTATGGCTTGCGAAAAAAATTATTCATATAAAATAAAACAATAAATGATTAAATCTAACGCTACTGACATAACGCTGTGAGCGCTAAACTTGATATTTTTGTTTGAGAAATTGAACTGAGGAGTGACTTTAGCACTATCTTCTCTGGCTATTCAAATATTCAGTGCCTTCGATATTCGTTCACACAAAGGAATTATGAAGTTATAGAATCATCCATTAGTCTTTCTTCACTTGCTCGAAAGTCAACGGAAGTTTTGTCTATTACAACTATTATAACCTATGGTATCTATGTGTTGCTTCAAGGCCGATCACTAATGATTGGTATTGAGTAGCACTGCAATCACGCGGTGCTTTGGAATTTTCCTATAAGCTGAAGTTCTCTATTATGTAAGTGAAAGAGAAAATTCAAAAGAGTTGTTCTGCCTCTTTCCAGAAGCACTCGAACATAGTGCAAAGATCATATTGATGTTTTTGTTAGGCCGCACAGCAGTATTAGCATCGTTCTTTTGTAGAAAAAACAATCAGTCTTAGCCTATGTAATATGTGATAATGAGTGAATTGTAATCCAATTCGTGAAGTATTCGTGAAGTATCGTACCAGCGCGTACCATGAAAGATCAAAGATTCAGCATTGAACCAAACTTAAACTTGGTTGAAGTGGCGTTTTCATATAAAATGTAAACTATGTTATAGAACATGAAATGATAAATCCAAGTCTGCGTTCGGTGTCTGCAAACGGTTTCTAAGAGGAAAATTATCGAATTTTTTGTAGCAAGAATCTGAATGAAAGGCTGCAATAAAATATGGCCTTTGAGCTTTAAAGGCAGCGTCCACGCAGATCTGAACCTATGAGGCTTTTACGTGGAAAGTACTTTTGGGGCCCTAACTAAGGCACTGCCCAAGCGGCAGCTCATGTAGTGCTCTAATGGCTGAGATATTCCCCTCGAAACTGGCCCCCGCGAACGTATTCGCATGGATTCATGGCAGTTTCGCGCCAGGATCCACGCTTTGCGCCATGAATCCATGCGAAACACGGCGCGGGGCCCAGTTTCGAGGGGAATATCTTAGCCGTTAGGGCACAACCTGAGCTGCAGGTTGGGCAGTAGCTTAGTTAGGGCCCCAAAAGTACTTTTCACGTAAAATCCCCATAGGTCCAGAGTTGCCTGGACGCTGCCTCCAAAAGGACCGTGATTACTGCCAGTGCACTTTATGCATTAACGAACTTATATTAGTCACACAGTCATTAGTATATCAGTCAGTCATTAGTCACTTATATTAGTCACTTTTCACATTAACGAACTTATATTAGTCATTACTCATTTCAAATGAAGGATCTCAACACCTGCCTTTATCTTAGCCAAACCCTTACATGTACCTCAGAAATCCCCGTAATTCATCTTCCAGAATCCCTTTGCATACCGAAAGCTGATGTGGATTCAGCGTTTGCCCTATGACACAGTGTCTATTTCATACGGAAACGCCACTTCCGCTCAGTATCCTTTCTGGTGAAATACATGTTTTGCCTTTAGAAAATGCAGATTGGGTCTCGCTGTCCCTTATTCGTGCATTTAAAAATGATGCTTTTTTTCTATAGCAGCCACCACAATTCATTACTGGCTTCATCAAATGCTTCCTTCAAAGTGAAAATTCGTAAAACTGAACATATTTTCTTGGAATAGAGATGATGAGTAATACGGACCTATTACCTTTTCTGTGATTCGTTGACCATCATTCGTAGCATTTTTGCTTACAACTGTGATGCCTGTACATATTTAAGTTCTTACTATATTCCTCAAATGTTGAGTCCTGCGCAGCCTATCGCCATGCCCTTCGATAGGGTAGAGATAGCACCTCAAAAGTGAAGGTTGTTTCAATATCCTTCCCCCAACTAGAATAGAGAAGAAGATGCAAAGCAAATAAGAAAGGCAGAAGAAACTGTTAAACTCTGGATAATGCTGCGACAAGTTTGTTATCATTTGACGGCGTTTCGAATCGCTGATTGTTCGGAGCGGCACATAACACGGGAAAAAACTAGAAAAAGCCGAGCATTTTTCTTTCTGTGATCGTCACAAAAACAACCATGGTTCCGCAGTGTTGACTGTTAGAAAGGCTTGTTTAGATGATAACTAGGTAATTATGAAAACGTGAAGTTTTGTTCCTAAGTCAAAATGCACTTGAAGTCTATTTCTATGCTTCCTTCAAATTTTTATCCGCGCATTGTCGATCCTGTTTCTGATGCTGTCTAAATTTGTGCCGCTCATTATTCTGGGCGAGAGGCTCAAGCTTAGAAAAAATCGTTGCGAAAACACTGAAAGGGAACGTTGTAAATAAACATTTCTTGCAAATTTTCACAAAAGTTCTACAGTCGAAGCTCTGCGACGTTGTCTGCGTTATGGACAGAAGCACAATCTGTTGACTACACAAAAGAAAAAGCGCGCGAAAAGAACTAAGCTGAGGAAAACAAGATTTCGTAAAATGGTTTTTGCCAGTTTTCTCGTTCACATCAAAATTGGGACTTTGCGACGTTATTAGCATGAAAGTAGATATCAATAGCTACAATATGATATATACCTTGCCAGAACTGGGCTTAGAACAACGATATAAAGTATCAGAACCAAAGGCTCTATGCCCTGCGTTTGGGGTAGCGAGGCAGCGCGCAACGCGTGGAGACGCAGACGAGTAGAGGAAAAGTCATTTAGGCTGCGTTTATGCTGACCTGAAAGTTCGGGAGCAGTATGAACGCAGCCTTAGCTTTGGTCGTAGATCTCCGCGGTTTCTCAACGAAACTTTGCAGCATTATATTAGGTCGTTCCGAAAGTAATGTCGCTTTTTTCAAACGTATGCCACATCTCGTGGATCAAAGATGTGTAAGAGATTCTTGTAGCATTTGGTGCAGCATTTCATTCTCTTTCTAATGGTTAGAAATTGTTGCAATGCAGTCAATGAGCTTCCAAAAAAGAGTCAAAATCTGCGACCTCTGCTTTTTAAGATGGCCAAGTTTCACAATTTTTCTAAATTTTTTAACAAACCTCAGAAGGAGTGCAAGTAATGGATGGATGAAGCAAACCCTACAGGAAACAGCACAACTTTTTTCTACTTTTCAGAGCTCGATATAATTTTTGTACAGTTTTTTTGATGGAACCACCGAATTTTAGAAGGCTTGTCTCAGACACAAGTGCATCAAACGCCAACAAGTCTCCGAATTTTGAAACTTACAAAGATGGATTATGGTTTGGCAACAATTTTACAAATCAAACGAGCATTTACAGCTTCGGTTTAGCAACTTTCCAAAATTTCGGGTA